ATCCCAGATAAGGTGGGATGGGGAGAGAGTGGGGGTCCCGGGCAAGGGGTGGGGTCATGTAGGGGGTGGTCACAGGGGTTACTCCCCTGACTCCCAGCTTCTCCGTCCCCTCCTCCCCCCAAATTTCCCCACCGGTTGCTGTCTCGGCCCGTCAGGGTAAGCAGCTGGCATGCCGGGATACTTTTTGTTTACTTAGGTTTACATCCATGCCTGCAGATGCTCAAGGTAAACAAACCATCTTGGCCCGCCAGCGGCTTACCCTGATGGCCCGGGAACCAAAGTTTGCTGACCCCTGATTTATAGAGTTGGCTTATGAACGGGTTATAAAAAATTTCCATTTTTACTTAGCCATCTTGGGGGGGAGTCGGCTTATAAACGAACCGGCTTATGATCAATTTCTGTAATTTTAGATGTATCATTATAGGATCTTTTTTGGAGCTGGTTTACCTACTTGGTCTCTTTCTTTGTCCCAAGAGGGAATCAACAAAGAGAGCACAAACAAAACCTTCCCCCCCCTACCCCCGAGATTTGAAAGTATCTTTTCCCCTTGGTCCTTCTGGTCTGGTGCCAACTAGGTTAATTGAACTGATTAACCCCTTACAGGTAAGTGATTTTGTACCTATGGCCAGGAGAGATTTTATGTTACTGCATACATAAGGGTTGTTACCCTTCCCTTTATATTTGACATCTCTGGAGACACAAATCCACAGTTTGAGAACTGCAAAACTAAGCATCTCTGATGGTATCTTCTAGACTGAACACTTGCATAGATAGAAAGATTAACCTAAATAATCTATACAGAAGCCCCTGGAACTCCATAAAATTGGGTCCCTAATCCATGAACTATTGGAACTCATTTACAAAACTTTTCTTAATCATTACCTGAATATATTGTCTCATACTATAGAATTAGAATTTATAATCCCTATTCCATGAGGCATCTAATATTTTGTTCAGGACAAGTTAGGTGAGAAAAGGCCTTATCCACCAAATTACTGCCTAGTGTGTCTGTCTCTGCAGTACAGCATGGCAGGCTTTCCCTTTTAATTTGATTTTTCTTTTCCTTGAAGGAATACCCAGACACTTTTCTCCCCTTCTCTTTTATTTTACCTCCCTTTGCTGAACGGTGATGGCATTGGTGAGTTAGACTGGTTTCTTTCCTTCTGCAGTCTCTCCAGATCCTAAGCCCACACAGCCTAGTGACAGTCATCCCAGCGAACTTCAAGTGACTACCTTATAAAAGCCAAAATCTTCCCTCAAAGTAAAGTAAAATAAAATAAAATAAACATAGCTGGGCTTGATTCTCTGCACCCATTCTCACAGAATTAGTCAACAGGGTTGACAAATCAAAATGCTACAAGAAAAAGACAAAGAAGGCAGTATAGCCATCTTCAGTATGACCCCTCAGATTCTACATCACTCAAGGAAGGAGATTTGTTAGAATCTGACTCTGAAGAATCAGATTCCCTCAGAGAACAGTCTATTTCCTCATGAATATTTTAAAACCACAGTAAGGAGACACTGATCTTAGTTGTACCTCCAGAATAAACCAAGCAGAAATCCAGTCTCTTTATAGGGGAAATATTTCCCCTCCAGCTCAAAAATTGAAACTTATTTCCCATCAGTGCAGTTGTTGAGGAAGTGATCAGTTCAGAATGAAAATAGCCATTGAAATAAGTGCCTTAATAGACATCTCATGAAATATTATAAATTCCAGGATTAAAAAAACCTACCTACTGTTTGGTGCAGATACCAGGGACGTGGCTGTGACTGCTGAGGCAAAATAAATGGTCATGCCCATTGACAAAGTGGACTGGAAAATAGAATTCTCATTGTGTAGGAATTAAGCCACAGATGAATCTCTTCTGTCTGGCCATCTATTTTGCTTGAATATATCTAACATGGTTTAGAGGACTGCTCCCACTGAAAGACAGAGACAGCCTTTCTTAACATGAAATCGGTCACATCATCCTTCAAGGAAAATGCCACTGTGGATTCAATCACAATGTCCACCTGGTCAAACGCATCCAGTTCAATTACTAGGACACCCATGAATCCTGTCCGGAGAGCAGACAAGCAAGCAAAACAACTTGTGGCTTCCATTTCTTTTTGCAGCTGAAAAGGTGAGAGAGACTAGGCAAAGTGTGTGGTGGAAATTCAGAAAAGGAAATCTTTCTGCTGTAGGGTGCCATAAAAGGGATTTCAGACAGTTCCATTTGTTTTCTACTATGATCACTCCAGGATCAACAGAAGAGGTCAGACACCAAACATTGGAAGATATGGAAACAGGAATTTAGTGGGAGGAAAGTCCTGGCAGGAGCGTATGCAATCCTTAAGCGCAACAAATGCCAAGGCTCTCCACTTGGGAGAAGCAGCAGATCCCTGTCTGACTAGCAGATCTCTCTCTTTCTCTCCCTCTTTTCCCCCTCCCCCATGTGAAAGATCTCCATTGTAGACAGATGGGTTCTTATGATAGAAGAGCAAGGGTATTTCAGTCTGAAAAATTCCCAAAAGACTGCTGCATTACAGACATTTAAAAAAAAAAAATCTTCGAAACAAACTGGGTTGTTCTTGGCAGTAGAACCACTACTTTCCATTGGGACTGTAGAACCAGTTCCCCAAAGGAGAAGTTATCCAACTTCTCTTTTACTGTACAGAAAAGGTCTGGAGTGATCAGGCCCTTTTTGGACATCAAAGGTCCTCAAGTACAAGGGATTCCAAATGGAGACTCTTTCACACTGAGTATTTATCAAAAGTGATTTTCTCATTCCAGTTGGGTGCATGGATGTGTCTCAAGATTTGCTTTCTCTCGCTCATATTATCATTAGAGGCCCTATATTTTGACCATACGTATTTCCTAAAGGTTCTAGTCACTCATTGCCAAACTTTGCTCTGGGGAATGTGAATGTAATGCATTCCTGGATCACTTCCTCATTTGGAATATGAATGAGGACCACAGAGATCGCTTTGAGAACACTGCAGGAACAAAGATTTTTTCATCAATAATTAGAAAAGCATCCTACTTTCCACTCAATTCTACAGCTGGGAGAAATCGTTTATACTTCCAAAGGCATCATGTATCTCTTAGCAAACAGTCTGACAAATTAAAGTCTGTAATCTCAAAGATCCACTTTGGAAATACTTGTGGTCTCTTGTTGGTACTATGTTAACAGTATACAGTGTGTTGTATATCATATTGATATGAAATTAAAGAATGTGTGTTCTTATATTTGAAGCCCTAAATGGTTTAGGTCCTCACTATTTGAGAGACCTCCTGCCTCTCTGATATACCCACATCTGTTACAGTCATGTGAGGTGCTTCCTGGGATGGGAGGGGGTTACTGGGGCTGAGGAGGCCTTCTCAGTGTGATTGTGATTAAACACCTTATGAGTTGAACACAATAGTTGTGTATTAATTTTGTTGTACCAATAAAGTGGAAGCCAACTGGAAGCATGGAGTAGTGCTTGGTTTTGATAAGTTATGGTACTATGTCTGTGGTGTTAAAATTGTGTAAATGTTTAAAGGGCTTGAGAGAAACAGTAATAAATTGAAACAAATGAAGCTACTTTGCTATTTGGCCATTTAATAATTGCAGATTGTCAAATAATAGACCTCTTGAGGTCCCTTCCAACTCTGATATTCAATGATTCAATAATAATTGGACCAGATTGTCAAAATACAAGTATTCATGCAAACAAACTCTGTTGCATGCACTTAACCCCAGATTTGTGCATGTAGATAAAGGATTGAGCAGATGCAAAACTATGCATACTGAAAATCTGACCCATACTGTGTAGGATTTTGCATTACTTTGTGAGGTAGATTTTTTTTTTGTGTGCTGTGTGTATGTTGTGTGATGTAGACGAGGCAAATGTATCGTTGTTGGTGCCTGTACCTATACAATTTGGAAGTAAGAAATTTTAACTAGATCTGCTCCTTCAGAATTAATTGTAGATAAATAGCAATGGAGAGCAGCATTTTCCATATAAAATCCTGGTGGTGGTTGGGGTGGAGGTATTAGGGAAGGAATCATAATTTGATAGTTCTGAAAATCTTTTTTTCAGATACTAGAAATTAGAAATAATTTGTTAGAATTTAGAAGTAAATGAATTATTAGGGGCTCTATTTTTAGGTTTAAATGGGAAATGATAAATCACCTGTTTTTTCTCTCATGACTTGCTGCCATGTTACCTAGGTTGTTTGATGACATGACATTCTGGGCTAATTACAAGGCCAGTGGTTCACATTTTCAATGCTGGCAGTCAAGCAGTCTCTTAAATAAGACTGGGTATTGTGGATAAACAACTAACACAACAAAGGGGCCATTCTAGTTCCTGCCACTGCAACCACCGGAGGAGATGATGGCCCTCTCAGTTTTGTTTGTAAACTTTTTTTAAAAAATTTAGTGTACAGTTTAATGAAACATACTGGATTATGTATATAAGATGCAACTGTCGATGCATATCAGTTAGATACATTTTTTTTAATAAACATCTTGAAGAAATTACCTTAAACCAAACCTCTAAACATGTCATCCCTCTATGCTCTTCCAGGCCACATGTAAATCTAAAAATAGAACTTTCAGTCTGAAACCCACCAAATTGCTATTGTGTTATTTCATCCATTTCAAAACACAACAAAACAAAATACCCCAAACCCTGAATTCAACCAAAATCAAACCCTAAAATCAGATTTTTGAAAATTTAAGAATAGTGTTTACTTAATAAACAATGAGATTTTTTTTCTATTTATGTCTTATTTGCATCCAACCCAATAGATGCAAACATACCAAAGCAGTCTGGAAAAAGTTTAACTCTACATATTTGTCACCTCAGTGCATTGTTGCATTTCATTGCCAAAATAAAGAAAATGAAGATTTGAGTACCTTGAAATGTATATAACCATGTCTGTCTTTGTTTTGTACCAAACATGCTGAATATGCTGATGGCACTCAATAAACTATAAATATTATAAACCAATTGTCATCCTCATATTCTAGGAATTGTCAAGTTGTGGGTGGAATAAGAAAGAGAAGTACAGTTCTGCTCCAAATGCAGTTGCCTTCACAAGAAGATTCAACCATGTGAGTTCTTATTATAATGGCAACATGATTGTATGTATCAGTGTTAAAAATCATCCAAGTGGAATGTTTAATATATATATTTTTGTCATTCACTGCTAAATATTTGGGGTTGACATGCCTGTGATGTAAACGGCTTGCTTAGGTGCAACAGTGTGATTACTTTAGTCCTGTTTAGTATCAGAGGGGTAGCCGTGTTAGTCTGAATCTGTAAAAAGCAACAGAGGGTCCTGTGGCACCTTTAAGACTAACAGAAGTATTGGAGCATAAGCTTTCGTGGGTGAATGCCCACTTCATCAGACGCCGCGTCTGAAGGCGTCTGATGAAGTGGGCATTCACCCATGAAAGCTTATGCTCCAATACTTCTGTTAGTCTTAAAGGTGCCACAGGATCCTCTGTTGCTTTTTAGTCCTGTTTGTTTCTATTAAGCTTTTTTGTTAAATAACAAATTTTGATGAATAAGAGAAGGAAAAGATATTAAGTAGGTTTTCCCCCAGATGTTTGCTGTACATTTCCTTTCATACGGTGGTCTGGGTGAAGGGTTTAGTGTAAAAAGGGTTCCTGATGAAATAGAAACATTTTTCCCATTTATAAGAATATTTAGTGTCTTTGATTTGTGTAGCAGTTCTTGTCCCAAAAAACATGGTGTTGAATTCTGTCAGAATGGTTACATTTTTATTGTGCTCCTGAGAAGACTGTTGAAAATGTGGCTAGATGGCTGTATACCGCTGTTAATCCCAAATTATGAAAGGCAGTGGAAATCCGACCACTGAAAGCAGTTGGCTAAAGCTTGTTACAAATCGCAAACAGCCTGTCTGATTGTGCTAAACTGACTTGCCAGTGAGTCTTGTGTTTGACATAATTTATCAGCCAGAATGACCTGAAGAAAAGCTCTGTGTAGCTCAAAAACTTGTCTTTGGTTGGTCCAGTGAAACCTATTACCTCACCCACCTTGTCTCAGCCAAAATGTCTTCATTTGCTCAAGCTTATGAAAGTCAGTTTGTCTTCTTTATTCAGTTTTTATTTTAAAATGCATCTTTTTATATAAGTCCCTGATACTGTGTTAAATAATTTAGTTGTCTCAACAATTACTTGAAATTAGGGCTATCAAGCAATTAAAAAAAATCGCGATTAATCGTGTGATTAATTGCACTGTTAATAATAGAATACCATTTATTTAAATATTTTGGGTGTTTCCTACATTTTCAAATGTATTGCTTTCAATTATAATGCAGAATACTACGTGTACAATGCTCACTTTATATTTATTTTTGATTACAAGTATTTGCATTGTAAAAAAACAAAAGAAATAGTATTTTTCAATTCACCTAATACAAGTACTGTAGCGTAACCTCTTTATCATGAAAGTTTAACTTACAAATGTAGAATTATGTTCAAAAAAACCTGCATGCAAAAATAAAATCTAAAATTTTAGAGCCTGCAAGTCAACTCAGTCCTTCTTCTTGTTCAGCCAATCACTCAGACAAACAAGTTTGTTTACCTTTGCAGGAGACAATGCTTCCCTCTTCTTGTTTACAATAACACCTGAAAGTGAGAACAGGCGTTCGCGTGGCACTGTTGTAGCCGGCGTCGCAAGATATTTATGTGCCAGATGCGCTAAAGATTCATATGTCCCTTCATGCTTCAACCACCATTCCAGGGGACATGCATCCATGCTGATGACTGGTTCTGCTTGATAACAATCCAAAGCAGTGTGGACCAATGCATGTTTATTTTCATCATCTGAGTCAGATGCCACCAGCAGAAGGTTGATTCTTCGAGTGATTGCTCCTGTGTATTCCACAGTAGGTGTGCGTGCTCGCCATGTGAACCGGTGCCGGAAGTTTTTCCCTTAGCAGTACCCGTAGTGGGGGAGCACCGCTGCGACCCCTGGAGTAGCGCCTCTATATCGCGCTATAAGGGGAGCTGTGCACTCCCCCCCCACCCTCAGTTCCTTCTTGCTGCCAGTGAAGGTAGTCGGAACTTAGTGCTCCAGCTCTGCTGCAGCACTGCAAACCTTAGTAGTACAACACTTCTTAGTAATCCAAATTTCTAGTTAGTGGCCTGGCTCAGGGCATGCCCCGTGCCCCAGGCTTCAAGTCGTGCGACTCCTGTTGCAGTTCTATGCCCAGAAGCGATCCACATACTCAGTGTCTTCGCTGTCTGGGCGAGACTCATGTAAGTGAGCATTGTAAAATCTGCTGGTTGTTCAAACCAAGAACGAAACGCGAACGAGATATCTGTCTCCGGGCCTTACTAATGGAGTCTGCATTGGCACCCGCACGCCATCACGATCTGGTGCCGGGCGCGTCTTCGGTGTGCAGCGACGCCCCATCAGCTAGTCGGCACCGCTCCCCCGCTAAGAAACAAGGGAAGACTCAGCAGCACCGAGAAAAGGACAGGGGCGACGCCGCACCTGAGTTGGGCAGCCCACGATTCCCCTCGGGACCCAGACCTCTGACTCGCGCTGAGTGGAGTAGTCCGGTCCCGTCAGTGCATGCCTCCCTGGCAGTGAGGGTACCATCGACGCCGGAGGCAGCGCAGGCAGTGCATTATAGCTCGCCCTTCCGGTGCCGAGTGTGCCACCCGAGACAGGCCCTTGCTCCAGAGGGAAGCAGCCACTGGGAGCTCATCGACCCTCCCCAGTTCGGCATAGCCGCCGCTCTGAGGATGAGGTGCCTACCCATTCTGCGGGACCATCTCGTAGCCCGCGCCAGACGCCCATGCCATTGGCTGACTCGCCTGAGAGGGAGTCCCGAGGCTCCTCCGCTACTGGAAGGGGTCGCAGGTACCGAGGTAGGAGGCGTCGACGAGCCTCTTCCTACAGGAGTTATAGGAGCAGGTCTCCATGCCATCGGCACCGACGCTCAGACTCGCGTGATCGCTCCGACAGGCGTCGTTCGCGAAGCACCCCTCGGCCAGCACCGGCACCTAACCGTCGTAGCCACAGTCACCGTGGTGACTCTGGAAGCAGTACCTCTGATGGGTATAGGTCTTCCTCGTCGAGATCTAAATCTCAAGGGTGGCACCGATGAGGCCGTGGATGTTCCCATCGCTCGTGTGGCACCGTGTGCGCGTCAGCAACGTTATCCTTGGCACCCAGCCGCCCATCCCCGGGCCGCGCCACCCCGCACTATCTAGCGGCTCCGCTAGGTCCCCAAGTGGGGCACTGGCAAGGGGCACCCTGGCATGGACAATGGTGTCAGTAGGCACCTTGGCCCCAACCGCCGGTACCAGCACGACCCTGTTCGGTGGCAGGGGCATCACAGGTGCATTCAGTGACCCTGCCTCAACACCGGGAGCAGATCCAATCCCTTCACCGGCACCGGAGGAATCCATTGTGGTGCCACCACCCGCCTTACAGGAAGACTTTAAGGCTTACCAGGAGCTCCTTAGGTGGGTCGCCTCCAATTGCCAGCTCCAGGCCAAGGAGATGGAGGAGCCGTTGGACACGTTCTTCCACGTCTTGTCGTCCTCGGCACTGGGCTGTGTGGCCCTACCTCTCCACCAAGGGGTGACCAATATCTCCACGTCACTTTGGCAAACCCCGGCGTCCTTGGCGCCAATTTCAAAAAAGGCGGAGAGGAAGTACTTTGTGCCAGCAAAGGGGCACGAATATTTGTACTGTCACCCGGTACCCAACTCTCTGGTGGTGGAATCGGTAAACCACTGAGAGAGGCATGGCCAACCCGCGCCCATCCCCAAAGATAGACTCCAGAAGACTGGATACCTTCGGCAGGAAGGTTTATTCATCGGCGAGCTTCCAGCTCAGGGTGGCTAATCATCAAGCCCTCCTGAGCCTCTATGATTTTAACCTGTGGGAGTCCCTGCCAAAGTTCAAACCTCTTCTTCAGGAAAAGGATAAGGAGTTCAGAGCTTTGGTCGACGAAGGCACGGCGGCGGCGAAAGCGGCCCTCCAAGCAGCTTCGGACATGGCAGATACAGCAGCCCGTTTGATGGCCTCTGCTGTTGCCATGCGCAGGGCGTCATGGCTCTCGCTGTCAGGGCTGTCCGCGGAGTCCCAGTCCCTCATGCAGGACTTGCCTTTCGACGGGAAAGCCCTGTTTGCGGATCAGACAGACACCCGTCTACACGGGATGAAGGACTCCTGCACCACCCTGCAAACTCTGGGCCTATATGTCCCACTGGCTAAGGACAAACCCAGGCCACAGACCTCGGCTCCTCCAAGTAGGGGCAGATATGAGCCCTCCACCTAAGAGGGCGAGGGAGTAGACACGTAGGTCCCAGCGCCAGTCCCGCTCGGCCCCGCGATCTGGGTCCTCCAAGGGCAAAAGGCAGGGGAAGAGGTGCTTTTGATTCTTTGTGGGGGGCCACCGGGCCTGTTGTCAGGAGAGCCCCCCAGTCAATAAAGCTTGTGTTCTGCAACCGTTTATCTGCCTTCCGAGTGCAATGGTCCTGTATAACGTCAGACCAGTGGGTCCTCAGCACCATTTCCAGGGGCTAAATGTTGCAGTTCATTTTGCCCCCCCTCCACCACCCCTCGCCCCCGGAAATCCCCGGGGACCCAGAGCACGCCCTTCTTCTGGACCAGGAGGTGACGCGCCTCCTCACCCTGGGTGCAGTGGAGAAGGTGCCTCGGGAATTCCAGGGCAGGGGTTTCTACTCCCGGTATTTCCTCATTCCAAAGGCAAACGGCGGGCTTAGGCCCATCCTCGACCTGCGGAGCCTCAACCAGTTTATGGTTCGTTACAAGTTCCGCATGGTTTCCCTGGCCTCTGTTATTCCATCCCTAGACCCGGGGGATTGGTTTGCAGCCCTAGACCTCCAGGATGCCTATTTCCACATCCATATTTTTGAGGGTCACAGGCGCTTCCTCCGCTTCCTGGTAGGGCAGGACCACTACTAGTTTACGGTCCTTCCTTTTGGCCTCTCCACGGCCCCCCGGGTTTTTACCAAATGCATGGTGGTAGTGGCAGCCTACCTCAGGGCTGCAAATTTTCCCCTACCTGGATGACTGGCTGCTCAAAGGCAAGTCTCGGTCT